TGCTAATGACAATCCACACAGACAACCAATGACTCTTTCACACTTCTTCAAGCTGCTCGATCACCAAACAGATCAGGAACCAGCATCAAGGCCCCTTAACAGTGCTATTGGCAATCGACATTGAGAGCGAACGACTTTTTGCCACTTCCTTAACGTGCTCTGTCGAACACCACTAACTCCCGAATCATTTGGTGTTCAACTACTATTTGTCAACCTGAGAAGGAGGTCCTGGTGGACACATTTGTTGCAGGGGTACTAACGGGCAACTTGCCAAATGTCGTGCTCCAGGCTGGGTGTTCCGCCCGACCACAGTTGACAGATCCAGTCCATCAACTTGCAAGGTGTCGGGCGCCGGACCCCTGACCTTTTATGGAAAACAGCCTCTGCCCTTTTTTACACTGAGGTGTTAATTCGCATTTGATAACGACTATTTATGTACAACGGGCTCAAAACGCCCCACCGCAACATTTGTACTGTCAACACCTCATATACTGACCATTTATCCTCACTTAAAGTGTCGCATGATGCCCTATTGGGCCATGTACTGAGTGTTTATTCGCATAGTTCACTTTTTGATAAAAAGTTCATTTTGTACGAAATATGTATTTTGAACTCTCAAACCCCAAATCCGTAGTTTGGTGCTCGATCCAATTGAGCTACAAGCACATTCATTCGTCCCTTTCGTCTAGGGGTATAGGACATCGCTTTTTATTCCCCGCCTCCTTCTATTGATATTCAAAGTTTTAATTTCTTCCAACAAACAAACAAAAAAAAAAACTTTGTGGAGAAAAAATAAATAAAAAATCATTGATTTTTCTTGGGGAACTCGTATAGATTCATGGTGAGTGTGCCTCTGGAATTCGGATTTTTAGAAAATTTGTATAGATTCGTGGTTAGTGTGCCTATTTTTTTTTTTTGAAATAACTACGCAGGAGTGCGGTGTTGAGTTTCAAATTCACATGAATAACAGGGCACTCGAGGTCCGGTCCGAGGGCAGTCAGAAACTGGAAAAATAGAACAGATTTGTGCACTAGTACCGGTCGGATATTCGAAATTGGCAAAATTAGGTGGTCACTCGTTGTTGCTTATCTTTTGTTTTCTTTTTTTTTCATCTCTTTTTTTTTTCCTTCCCCTCACACGTGGTTGGGCCAAGGCCAAGCTGTTTAGGCGACACCCGAGATGTCTAGGCCACGGCAAAAAGGGGTCTCCACGAGTCGTTTTTGAACCCTGTTGTTTCCCAACCCACGTCCGTGATCCTAAAAACAAAACAAAACAAAGGGTGCACGGTATTAGTACCTGCTCCTGCCCCAGCCCTTAGGAAAACGACCTTTAGCGGTACGCGTACCTCCCATTTATGCCAATTGTTGAACTGGCAGGTCGCAGGAAGTATGGGTTTTGTTTTTCTTGCAGTTTGTAACTGCTCTTCGCCCGAACTTACAGTGTGGAGTTATATCCGTGAATTTGGAACACTGCACTGCTCACATGCGCAGTTGTCTGTTTTGTTCTTGTTTCTGTGAAAGGGACCATTCTCCACTCAATATATTAGGTTGAAGACAGGAGTCCTTGTGGTTGACACGTATTCCCGCATGGCTGGATGGCAATGTCAGTGGATCGCATGGTGGGGGAGAATTCATGAGACTGTTTCTAAATTGGAAGGATATATTCTGAGAGAATATTCACAGTATAACGTTTGCGGCTGAGCTGTGGACCTGTGTTGCCAACGCGGCTCAGTTGCGCAAGGGTCACGGAAGGTCCCTGTTAAAGAAAACAAAAAATCCAAAAAACCTGAAAAACACCTATGTTGTGCAAAACATAAATTGAACTGCAATAACCCATGCCATATGTCTCGTGGAAAGACCGAGGGCCAATTCGGCTGCCCTCAGCCCAGGCCAAAACGGGGGCAAAAAGGACCCCATACGAGGACTTAGGGCCTGGACGTGAGAATGTTGACTTTGGTCAACCGCCGTGACCCCAACAGTCCAAAGGTACATAGCCCAGACCGTTGGTCAAGCACACACACTTGTTTGGATGCAGGTACCCAGACAACATCAGGTCCAAGGGAGAAGTCTGCAATTGCACAATCCGGGCCCTCAGCTGTGAGTCAATCTGGACGATTATGCGGGAAGCACCCGAGGCCAGACAGCCTCGACAACTGCTACTTAAGGCTGGGCTCGAGTGAGTCAAGTATTCAGTCTTGCTATGTTGCTTTGACGTTGGCTCGACTTTGACTAGACGCTGGCATTATGCTGGCTCGAGGTTGGCTGTGCACTGGCGATGCGGAAGACGGCACGAGGTGGAGGCAACATGCTGGCACTTTCTGCATTGTGTGTCAGGCTTGCTGAGGTGGCACAACGGAAAAATTCCCACGATAAATGAAAGTTGAAAAAACATTCCATTCAAAAAAAATCCTTCATATTTATAAATTATCATTCCAATGTTCGTCCATTTCTAAAATTTCTAGTTTTATTCGATAAGTTTCCGTCTAAATATGAGTTTTCCCTTCCAACTACATCTATTTGTTCAAGATGGAATGAAAGTCTGGATGAGTTTATGAAATGTCTTAATTAAACTTTCATTCTACTATAACAAATACCTTCTAATTTAGATTGGATTAACTAATTTATGACAGAAAATCCTTACATAGAATGACAGTCCAATTAAAATATTTCATGAACTCATCCAGACTTTCATTCCATCTCTAGCATGCAGTTCAAATAAGAAGGGATACCCCATTCTT